AAAATAGGGGGTTACAGCTTATTTTAGTGGACTTTAGTTAGATATACATAATTGTTTTAAATAAACTGCACAAAATAAAATAAAAAATGGACCTAGTAGCACTACAAGCCAATTACAAAACTGACATATAAGAACACACACTAAACAAACCAGGTCTTACATTTGAGAATTACTACATAATCTTCAGGCCAAACCTGAGAAAAAGTAACCACTCTTTTGTGTTTTCCTGTTTTTATCTCACTCATAACATGCATCTAAGCATGTCACAGTTGTTAATTATTACTGATCATGAGAACACTCTCTTCTTAGAACTCAGAATTTGTTTTTAATTGTATTTTGTTATAGAAAAAGCACATGCACTGAAATGCCAGAGTGGGGGAGGGAAGGTACGGTCTGTGCCTTAATTTGGAATATATCTGCAGTGACCATGGCTTGGTTTTAACAAAAACGTCTGTTCCCGGTGAATTAGGACACAGCACAAGGCTGAGTTCTCCAGGCACAAGTGACCATCATGATCAGAACACCTTCAGCAGCTGCCATTGCTAACAGGCTCAGCTCCTGCTCCAACACATTTTCTTAACTGGCAAAATCAGCGATATTTACATGAAGTAAAAACTGACGCCAAAATGAGGAGCAAAGAGCAATGGTAAATATACGTATCACCAGCAGTGACTGGCGTTTGGGAGAAAAGCTGTAGAGCCTTGATGGTCGGGGGAGAGTTGAATTCCTTGAAGCGTTGAGCTTGGGGAGAGGTTAGAGCTGACATTCCTGGGGTCAGAGGGGTCCCTACATGGAGAGGGGCTGCTGGCAGGCTGTGGGGTGCCTGTTCCGAGGAAGGCAGTGGGTTTGAAAGCCGCTCCGCAGGCCGCGGTGCCAATGGGTGGCACGTGCCGGGGCCGCCGAGGCGGAGGAAAGGGCGGGAAGGCGGCAGCGCAAGCGCAGCGCGCAGCTCGCGCTGCCACAGGCACGGCGGCCCCGAGGGAGCTGGGAGACGCCAGAAAAACCTCCCTGGGTGTCAGTCGGTAACTCATGGTGTTATTCCATGGAGCGTCCGTTGCAGGCCTGTGCTGGAGAGCTTAAAGGATGGAGTGAAACTGCTCTGGCTCCAGCGCCTGCTCGTTGTTCTGAGGAAAGACGCTATGACCAGCGCCTTTTTGTCCCTCCTGAGAATGCTCCATCTTGTCATCTACCACGGGAAACCGTGAAAAGGAAGAATTCCCCGGAGCTCCTGTGCCCTGGCCTGGCAGTGGTGAGGCTGGAGCAGCTGTGCCTGCTCCACCAGCAGCTCCCTGCCTTTCTGTGGGTCCCTGGAGAGGCCCAACCTGAGGTAAGTGTGTCTCATCCTTACTCTCTGCAGCAGTTTTTAGTTACAGTATCAGAGCCTATAACTTAAAAAACTTGGCTTATATGAAAAGTGTCTTAAATTATTACAACAGTTTTCATTAATTCAAATTGCACATTGTTGTCGAGTTAAAAATAGGACTTGGGCTTGAATTTTTCATTATCTTAGTTTTGTGTGTAGCTGCAGAAAAGACATTCTGCCCTTCTGGTTTAATGCAGTTAGTCAAGTCTGACTTTCCCAAACTCTATTTTGTCCTTAGAAAAATCTCTTGCTTCTATGCATTTCTCATTTGATGCGTATTTCTTTTTTAAAATGGAAAATGTCATGATGGGAAGCAAAAATCATGTTACCTGGAGTATTCCTGCTTTGGAACATGAAGAGAGATAATTAAAAGCTGCCATTTTCCAGAGCAGGACAGATTGGTTTCCAACTCCTGAACTTCTGAAAGGAAATTGAGATGGGGAAATGAGTCTGTAGTTGCAAGAACTAAGAGCCATAAGATTTTTAACCTTCTGAAAACTGTTAGAAAAAAAATAGTACAAACCTTTGTGCATTCAAAAAGAGCTCTCCCTAGTTGGGATACAAGGCATATAATAGGAGATCTGGTTTCCCATTAATGCAACTGTCCTGTATTCTACTGGTATCATTGAAAACTGTTAGGCAGCTGATTTTGAAAACTTGGTCTGTGTAGAATGTAACTGAACTAATTCTGCTTTTGACCCAGGACCACTTTAATTATATCTGGGCCTTAAGCTGGCTTCAAGCTAAAAAGACAAATAATTTTTCACTGATGTTAAATATCTGCCTAGGTGCTAAGGTCATGGTAGCATAGAGCACTGTGGGGCACAGTGTGCTAAAAGTGAAGACATGCTGTATAAACAGGATTTCTTTTGAAACTATGAGTTTAATTATAGTGTATGAGAGTGCCAGATCCTGACATGCTAATATAAGTATTTATAAAGTGTATGAAGCAATTCAAAAGGATCTAGTCTTTTTGTGACCATGTCTGTGGCAGCTTTATTATGGAGTGCAAAACAAAGTCAGTCCAAGGGGAAGCATTCATCAGCTGTGTTTCTTTGGTCCACCTAGTGCTAATTAATTGCCCAGCCTCACAAATTAGGGACTGTTGTGTCTCATTCCAAAGCTATAGACAGCCATGGCACTCCCCATACACACTGTATTTCAGTACTTTCCCTGGCCCTTAGCTGCGTGTTGAATGAATCTTCAACACCCAGAGAACTGCAAAGCCAGCAGGCATGTCTCTAGGACTAAATCTGTGACTGGGGTCAGAAAATGTGTCCTAATTTCTGAAAGAAAAGCACATAGAAAACTTCTGGTACTGCAGATTGCCTGTTTAACATTGTGTAACAGCTGTGTCATCATATGGATGGTGAAGTTAATAGGGAATGTGACCCAGACTGTTCCTGCCCTTGGACTTGCTGGGACAGGTGACCTTTTTGTTTTATCAGAATGTCAGTACAAGAACTTTAGGATGCATTTTTCACGTTGTGCGCTATTTAAGGGCAACACTGTACTCAGCAGTTAAGTAATAACTGACAGAAGTCAAAATACTGCTAGGGCCAAAGGAAAAAGAAAATCTTTAATCATAAGGGTGTGGGGGTACTTTTGTTTGAGAATTCTTTATTATTTGCTATATTATAGAAATTAAGTTAATTTAACAATGAATAAGAGCACTGAGAATTCCAAACCTAAAAGTCCAAGCTTATGCTGTATGTCTTCTACTCAATTCTTTTTACCCTGTGATTTCTGTTCATGCTGCTGCATTGTTACTCAAAAAAAATAATAATGGTTGTCTTGTATGTAAACTTTGAATTTTGGTTTTTATATGGGCAGTACATGGTCAGTGCAGCCCAATGGAATTACTGTTGTGATTGAAATACCGTAAGTTACATTGTCAGATGTATCAGTGCTTAGACAAAAACTGACAAGAAAGGGGTACCACTAGCATCCAGATTTCAGAGTTCAGTTAAGCCTTTGTTCCATTTTTTTGTTGTGCATGTATATGAGACAACAACATTGGTATCATAGAGCCTTATTTGGAAACAGTTTATATTGTCTGTAAAACACTGATCAGGCAGATGCTCAGAATGCAGTCCTTAGGTCCAAGTCAGCTAAATTTCCTCTTGTCAGAGCAGTTCAGTCTGGATAGTCTTATTTCTACATCTGAACAAGGTAATTATTTTGCTAACTCTTTGAAGTGTGACCTGAATTATTGGGGAAGGCTGTGACAGAAGCTTGGAGCTGAGCTAAAATGATCATTGTTACTATACTTTCCTGCAGCAGTTTTGTAAGCATAGATGAGCCTTTCCATTCTCTCTTGTTCCCTAGTCCTGGACTGAACATTTAGCATGTTATTAAGCTGCCTGGCTCCCTTTTATTGAATGAGATGCACTCCGGCATCAATATGTATTACATATGAGTGCCTTATGTATGCAGAGTCTGTTTAAAAGGCAGAGTTCTGCCAAGATCCTGCCCAGAGGGAATGAATTCAAGTGACTCAATACTTTTAAATCACATCTTTAGAGGAGAGGAATTTCACCCTTAGGTTAGGTTATGGAAGAGAAATCTATTAACTTTAATCACTCCTACAGAGTAAGTTTAAGCTTTGTATAAGGGAAATGCAGTTTGCAGTATGACAGTGGGTTTCTGCAATGGAAAAGCAGCCCTAACAAATAATCCCTTTATAGAGATGATGCAGCCTCTTTGTAGCTACAGCTTGGTAACTTCTAGATATAAAAATACCATGTAAGAGTAAAGCCTGAGTGAAACAAATGAGATCTCTTGTGAAGCTGAGTCACCTTTACCATGATATCTTTCTTGGTTGCTGAGAAAGGCCAGCATTTGCCATGCCAGCTTGCTTTATTTCTTTGTCCAGGCCTTCTGTTGAAACCTCTTAAATTACATACTTGCAACTGCACACAGAATGACTTGAAGCATCTCTGTAGTGACCTATCTTGAGTACACCACGGGTAAAATCCTACTGAAACTTAGCCCAGGGCAATAGGGTCCATCTCCACCACATTCACTGCTGGCAACTCTTGCCAGCACCTCCATTTTTTAGAACCACGCTGAGAAGTATTTGGTTATATTTTGGGCTCAGAAAGCCCGGTAATTCTCTCTGAGACACCCTTCTGTGCCAATGCCATTGCTTTTTCTGTGGTGATGCTCTAAATGGTTCTAGACCCATGTTCAACAAATGTTTACAGCAAAACTCCTGTGAATTCCTGACATCAGCATAGACAAGACTGCTGGAGAGGTTAATGGTGAACCTTTCTTATGTAATTAGTTATTGATTAATGTTTGATAGGCCGAGGTCTCAAAAAAAACAACAACAAAGAAGAGATAATGTTATCAAGAGAACAAAAAGGATTGGTTTCTTGTATGACAGGAAAATCTCAATAACTCTGGAAATAACTCCTAGTGGAGAACTCTAGACTTCCTAAATTTTCTTTTTCTCCATTATTCTGCTTGCGACCTGCAATATAGCTGTGAAAGTGTTTACAAATGACTTTTCAGGAGGAACTGATCCAGAGTAACAAAGGAAGACAGTTTTGGTTTTGAAGGTCTCATATAATCATGCAACTTACACAGCCTGACAACAGCAGAGGGCAATAGATCTCTATGAAACATCACAACTTCAAAAAGGTTTCCATTGGATGACTCTGATGGCAGTTTGTGCAGCTCTTCTCACTGTCTCGCAGGGATCGTTCAGGCACTGCTGAAATATTTCTGTGTGATCCAGGAGTGTCTTGCGGCCCCCTGGTAGCTCAGCCAGCATGGTGAGGGTTTTGATGGCACTCAGACGGGCTTTGCTGGTTTCCTCAGTAACCAGCTTCAGTAGAGGTGGAATGGCTTCAGCATGTAAGGCTGAGAATCTCCCTGAAGAGAAGTAAACTGGCTTTAAAACGTGTTATTACATATAATCAACATGCTTTTGAATTGCTGTTTTCTACTCCCTGCCCAGCTACAGCTCTGCCCACCCCCAGAGGGTGCAGTGCAAAGACATAGGACATGCTTATCTTTTGAAGACCAAGGCTAGCTGCCACCTGTTTATTTTTTAGAAGGAAGATCTTTCTTGTTTCACGTTATCTGCCTTGCACATTATTATTTAGCTTGCAACAAATTATCTAAGATACATGACGCACTGAATGATAGGATAAAATAATGTTTGTGGGGGTTAGAATCATGCTCCATTCTTTTGTTTTTAAAGACACTTCAAGCACTGACATCCACTGCTGTGGTGTCTTTGGAAGCCAGGGGGACTGTTGCAGAGGATGACTGGAACACAACTGCTATTATTAAGAGTCTTCTATGTCTAATTACTCATTCATCACACTGAAAATTTAGCAGTTAGTGTTTTCAGTCTCATGTAAGTTACCTGGGAGAACTACAGACCTCATTAATATTCATTCTTCTCCCAGCTGTGAGAAAGAAACTGCCTCTAAGCACAAAAAGAGCTTCCAGAAAGTAATGCTCCTCTGTGGAGGATTGGTGACTCAGAGTAGCTTAAGGTATGTGGATTTCTGTGTGGTCTGGACTTCAACAGCAAATGTTCCCTTCTGGAGCATCATTTGGGAGGTAAATGACGCAGATGGGGGAGAGAAAGAACTTCTTGACCTACTTGAAGTGAATAAATGTCCCCCCTAGACACTGTGGGGGACAAACAGCAGTTGCTTGAGACAGATCTGAAGAAGTGTCCTCATCTTACAGGTTTTTGAAGGAGTTTTAACACTATCAGAAACTGAGGGCTTGGGGGTGGCGGGGCAAAGGTTTTGTTACTAAGTTGCCTTAGAATTGGATTTCCAGCAGGTATCCCAGCAGAACTGCCTCTCACCCTGAGGTTTAATGGTAGCAAACATCAGTGCTCCTGTTGCACTAGCTTGGACTTCAGGATCTGTATCTGTCAGCAGGCTCACCAGCACGGGAGTAACTTCTTCACATATGTTGGTTTTTCCATCCGGGTGAGTGCTGTGCAGAAAAGATGGTTCAGTTGCTTTCTTATGTATACTGCCTGTGCAGCTGCCCACAGCTCCTCCCCATGCCTGACCCCCACAGCTCTCCTTCATTCTGTGACAACAGAGCTGACACAGCCCTCTTCTCCCTTCTCTTTGGAGTCACAATGTTCTAACTGTTAGACAGATGGCAAACACCACTATCCAGCCACAAAGAAAAGAAAGGAGGTATCTGTTTGTGCCTGGTGTCTATTAAATCTACTTGCTGATACAATACTGATGATATCATGTTAACTTATCTGTGTGGGATTGGCTATTTTTAGGCTACTTTTAGGTGCTGTTCAGACTTCTTTTACTTTCTGTGATACACTGGAGATTGATGGGCAGGAGCATGTAACAGGATGTAGGCTTAAGTGTGCTGGTGATTCTAATGGCAATTTAGTTAGAAACATGGCTGTTGAGCCTTATGCAGATTTAAAAACTTGCTAAATAAGGCATCTGCAATTAATTCTATTCCCAGATCAGTTTTCTCTTTCTCTTTCCAGCCTTTCTAATGTGGGGAATATTTAACCTGGCCCAGCCACTGCAGGAACCTAGAATGTACCTTCTGTGCACCCTCTAGCTGCATTTCTGCTTTTCTTCTGACTCATGTTATCTATACTCTCTGGCTTTATTGTAGGACATTAGAAGTGTTTTGTGCCAGTTGCTATGTGAACTACATGATCTGCAGACCTTTTTAAACAACATCTGTTGAGCAATGTTATTACATTTTGTGATTGCAGGACAAAGGACTTAAGTTGTTCCTTTCATCCAGTGTTTGATACACAATTTTAATATAAAGATTGCTTTGCCTGATCCATCAGTGACGTATGTAGCAGCCTGTGTCAGAAAACTATTTCTGTCCTCAATTACTCTGAAAGTTTCCCAGGACCTTTAATTTTTTGAGAGGGGGCAGTTGTCCAAAAAAACAAAGGAGCTTCTCTCTACTTCCATAGTGGTCAGAATCTTGTTTCCACATGATTTCTCATGCAAGATTTTTTTCTCAGCAGTGCTGTATCAGGAAAAAAAATCCTGATTACACTGCCAATATTGAGGACAAATGGAAGGAGAAGGAATGACATTTCCTGACTGGCATCTGCTTTCTCAGATGGTTTGTAGCAGCTGTGATTTTAAGAAGTTTTCTACCTATATGTGCATTCAGGCTGATATGCCTTTGCACATCAAATGGGACAGCTTCAATGTGGAATGGGACACAACTGTAAGCTAATGACATTGATTCTCTCACAAAATTTTCTTGGGCTTAAGTATTATAGACAGATTTCTTTTCCTTTACCCAATTGCTAACAGGACCCAAGCTGCTTTGCTTTTGATGACTGCTGATGGGTGTGTGAGCTTTTCCTTCAGGATAGTAACGGCATCAGCTGCTATAGCTTCAGAAGCCTCCACATGTAGACAGTTGGAGAGTGTATCTAGGATGAGCTCCTGGATTTCATCTGGCTCAGTCTTCAATTTGACTACTAGGAAGGGGATCAAACCAGCTTGCAGTATGTCAACAGCCCCTACAGGAGGAGACAGAGAAGGAAACTGGTGAGGTGTGAGCTGCATTATTTCTACTTGCACTCTGAACTTCTTAACAGGATGAAAATACATCTGGTAACTCATTTCCTTAGATGTGGGGTTGAGAGATGGAACCGACTACAACAGTGGTCTGTTTGTAAATGCCATCTTAGCATTGCTCCCTCAGGAAGCTTCCCCAGCTGTCCTATAAACACATCAGCCCATATAATAACCAAAATGGCAATTGCTCTGATGTTCCCTGTTTCCCCCACTATAGTATTTCTCCAAAAGTTATTCTTCCTAAGAAAGTATAGGAAATATATGTATATATGTCACCTTATTTCCATCCTTCCTGACTGTTCCCAACACAAACAGATGTTAAGAGAGGCTGAGATGTGAGCCTTTGGAAATAATACTTTGATTTTCCACTATGGTTTCTATGGGGGAAGTCAAAGTTTTAGAGACTGTCAGCTTCCTCATACTTTTCTTTGTACTAATTCTGTCATGGGGAAAATTTTTAATTTGGAGCCTTCCAGCATTCAGTGCTCTTGCACTATCTCCTAAAGTAAACAGCATCAAATGTAGAAAGATTGTCATCTGCCCTGCAAGTGATGGCTTTGCTAAGATCAAGTGTCTGATTTGTACCATTTGTTACTCAACACACAGCCAGCAGGGAAGCAGCAATGCCATGGGAAAGAGAATGCAGAATGTACTGTCCATGAGTAACTATGTGAAAACAAAATTCTCCAGCTGTCTTGTTGCTAAGACTGGTTCTTTGGTTGCTAAGAGAAATGTGGCTCCCTTCAAAATGATTCATGTATAGATAAGGAAGTTTTGTGGCTAAGAGTCATCAAGGTATTTTCAAATGAATCTCCACAGTCAGGGATAAATGGACAGGTGGGAAAGAGATTTTAATGGCTCTTAGTAGTGCAGAGCAGAAATCCCTCAACTTGATAATTAGGTGAAAAACATTATTCCAATCAAGAGGTTACTCTGTTGTATATATTTCTGAGGTTTTGCTGACATTTAATAACTTCTTATGTTAGTAACTTATTAGGATTCACTTTACTAATGCAAATAAATGCCTAGGGGTGGTATGATTACAGTATTTACTGCCCTGTCAGTTGCTGTGAGAATTCAAATAAATGATAAGGAAGAACAGATTCAGACAAATCACTCTTGAAGGTTAACAACATTTCAAAAACAAGGATTTCTCCCTATGTTAGAAAGGCAAAGCAGGAAATGAAAGTGAAAAAAAATTATCTTTGAAGCTCTGGCTCTGTGTACCACTAGGTGGGGGGGCGGGGTGGGTGGTGTGGTAACTGCATAGTAAAAAGCCCTCCAGCCTCCCTCCACAAGGATTAGGAATTGTAGGTTTGAGGTAGGTTAGACAACACCAAGGGTATGGCTGGGAATGCTTAGGGAGTCCCAGTAGTAGGGCACTAGCAAACTGCTCCCATGGTAGTAGCTTAAAGCAGTCTCAGATGATCATGAATCATACCTAGAACTGGAGTACTTAATCCTAAAGTAATTTCATTTTTTCTAGATAAGATAACACAGTGTAAATGTAAATAACAGTAGCAAAGAAGGGAAGTTTGAAATCCATGTCCTCTAGAGCATTCAAGTTTCACTTCTTTGTGCGTCTTTCACTTATCTCCTAATGTATTCAACCAATAGATTCAACTGGACAGGACTGTGTGTCTTGGCCCTTCCTCGTAATGTTTATTGACTTTCTTTGACTCTGGACATCCCTCATTCATTGCATTTGCACTTCATGTTTCTTTTGGTGCTACTCTTCATTGTTGCACTGCAGGTCCTAAATGCAAAATATACAACACAGCCACTTTATGTCTTTCTGTTTCAATAAGCTGGCAAGATAATGTACAGACTGTTGTCTGAGACAGCTTCTATTTTGTGGAGCCATTAAGAGGTATTTATTTTGTGATCAGAAACCAAAGGGTGAAAGATCTAGGGAGGTAAAAAGGAAAAGAGAGGAGCCAAAATCAGTGGAAAATTGTTTGAGAGTTACTTGTAAATTAGAGCAGTCTCATATCCATGCATCTTACTTTGCTATCAACAGGAGGGGAAGGTAAGCTGGTGTTTCTGGTAGTCTTACTTTGGAAAATGTGGTGGCATCCTTAGGATCTTGACTTTTCATTAAAATACTGCCCTTCCAAAGGTGATTTATCTATCGCAGAGAGTGTTTAGATATCCTGGGCATAGTGAATTAGTAGGGGAAAATGTTTTCAAAATGCAAATAGCAGCATTTGCAGCTGCATGGTTAACATTATTATTGATCTATTTTTCTGAGAACTTGTAATCTTCCCTTGGGCTGCTTTTTATCTAAGCACTCATCTCTTCCTTCTCATAACCCTCTGGCCATTCTCACCCTCCTTTCCTGACTCTTTTTTTCAACTAGGCCCAAAGAGGAGCTGCCATTTTATTCTGTTCTTTTAGTTCTAGCTGCAGGGCATGGGAACAAGTTAAATTTTGTGGAAGACAAAGGAGTCACTTTTAGTACATAACAATGGTGTTTTGTTTTGGTTTTCAATTACATAAATCAATTAAATCACATTACAAATCCTTTTCATTACAAATGTTGGTTTTCAACTCAAAGCCATTTAAATGTTTGCTTTAGTATGAAGCATGTGCCTCATGCATGGCCACAAAGTGACATACAGTGTAGTATATAGCTCAGTAAAATAACGTGAACACAGATTCTCTATAATATGAATGTTTTGCTAACACCTCAGATGTCCACACAAGTATCTGAAAAGCTCAGTAACAGCATTTCTGCTTAGGAAGGGGCCCACAAGGAGAAGAGAAGCAGAGCCAGACACACTGGGAAGGAGGAATTCTGCCTGGCACCATGGTGTGCTCGCAACACATCCAGTGCACAGCAGCTGTGGAGTCCCAGGATGAGCAGTCAGGAACTGTGAGTTCCAAATGATCCTGAGAACAGTTCTGGTCCTCGCAGCTCTCTTGCCAGCACTGCAATAGTTTAGCACCATTTTAGAGGTAAGAAAGTGTTTACTACATGGGTGAATGCCAGCACATATAATATACATTTAAAAATGCAATGCTTCTGTGAGGTTTCCATTCTGAGTGATGAGAGAGGACCGCAGCAGAGCCCTCCCCAGCACACCTTCCTTACTAACTCCTTGCTACCACTGTTTAAATTGAAAAAAAAAGAATGATTTTTAGACTCCCTGAGAAGATTTCTGAGTCACCAGTCACAAGAGCAAAGTTTGAGAGTTTAATGTTAAGATTCAGCATTTTGAGTCAGTGCTTCCAGCGTTCAGACTGTGTCAGGGAGTAGATTAAATATAATATTACTATAAAACTGGACTTAAATTTCTTTCTGGTAAGTTTGGAGCAGGAGGTAGGGGATGTTAAATGAAACAGAGCCTGCCTATACCTGCCTATACCCTGCCTGCTTTATGAATTCCTCTAACTGAAGAGGAAAATTCTGTTGATATCTTTGAAAGTCAGATTATTTTCTTCTTCTTTGCAACAATAATCCTCTGTTTTTTGGTAATTTAATAGGAATAAACAATAGTGTCCCAAATGATGCCTATGCCTAAAGATAAAGAATATCTTTTATATTAAAGGACTTAGAGGTGAAAAGTCCCTGTTTAAATTACCTGAAGAGCTACTAGTATATTAGTCAACTGAGGAAATCACTGCAGATATTTGTATTGGACTAAAAATATTAAACAATTCTACTCCAAACCATTTCCAATCTGTGCACTGGCTAAATGCATTTATCTTACGACAGCCCTAGGGATTTATCAGGTATAAAATCACAGCCTGAATAGCAGTGTCTGTCAGATCCTCACTAAAAATACAATAGCTGTAAACTTTATAGAAGCATTGTGGGATCTGCTTCTGAAGCCACTGAGAATTTTTCCAGTATTAAGTATTTCAGGATGTTATCTGAATGAGAGACCTAGGAGAAAATAACATTATTAAAAAAAAATTATTAAAAAGCAGCAGTAAACTGGAGAAGCATATGATGTGGCTGCCTCTGGGGATCCTTTTAAAAATCCAAAAGGTTTCAAGCATTAACAAGGGACAGGAAAGACTGGAGTGATAAACAAGAGGTTCTTAATCCTCAGTAAAGAATGAGACTCCTGCATATCTTCTTGTTGTTAGAATCTTTGCTTTGGCATGTATGAAATCATAATAGCAAAACACAGCTGAAGATAATTAACATAGAAACTACAACTAGTGTATCTGCATTAGCTTCTTTATGATAATCTAGAAATCCAAGAAATGGAGTAATTTAGGTAGTAAGTCTGCCTGTGACCTTCTCCTTGAAAGCAATGGGCTTAGCCATCTAAATACTTTATGCCCTATGGAAAGAGAAGTAATAGCTAAAGAACTGAAAAATTGTGGTCTACAAAATGTCTTTTATCACAGCATCTCTAGAAATTCTGGGGAGGAATTACAGTAGAATTGTGTTTCACAGGGAGGCAGTTTCCAACCTGAAAAATTAATCCTGGATTCTGATTTTGTGAAAGACATATCTACAGGGTAAGATCAATAATTGACCAAGACAACTACTCTGCTCTTGACTGATGTCAGTCTCAGATCCTTTAGTGTCAAATCATCAAACCTCTCTGGTGGAGATAATGAAATATGCTCTCTGTTGTAGTAGTGCATAATCCATGAATGCTGGATAACTGGTCATTCATACAGCATCAGAAGGGAGTGTCCAAAAGGAAAGCAACTTTTCCTTCTTTTCATAGAACTGTATTCATACATTATCATATACAAGACAGCAAACAACCAAAATGAAGATGAAATAGAATGAAGTATTACTGATTTAAAATATTTTTCTTAGTTTTAATTGTTGATAGTCTTCTTGCATATTGAAGTACAAGCATTGACATATTTTGCAGTGTTTTTATTTTGCCTTTCAGAACTCTAGCTGCTCACACCTTCCATAGAATTAATCTTCTTTAAGTTTCCAAAATTTATAACTTACTTAATCTATAGA